TGAACCTGGGGCATTATGTATCCTTGGTAAGTGGTCTACCACTGAATCACATCCCTAAGAAGTATTTTAATATTGAAACTTATAAGAATAATTCATCCAATCTGCTCAAAAGGAAAATAGTAAATGTAGTCCATTGAAACCAGCTGTTTCTGCCAAGTATTTGTGAATCATGCTGTGCTCAGTAAAAACAGAAACTTCATTAATAAAATATAATGGTCTGATACCAGTAGAATTTAAATATTACAGCTTTGTAAGTATGTTTTAAATAAAAACAATTTAAATATAAATTAATTCAGAATAAATTTTTATTTTTTTAATCTCACAAAATGGAAACTATCATTTACATTGTTGCAATAGCACTAAAAATGAGAAATCAGTTTGTTACAACTCTTGAAAACAGTTATGAGAATAAAATAAAAATTAAACGGAACAAAAAGAAAAAAACCTAAATGCTCTTCTTAAAGAATGGTGATCTGACTGCTTGTGACATACCCACTCAAAGACAGATAAACAGCAGACACATTCAAAACAGACTAATTTATTTACAGCAATATTCCAACAGAACCTAATGATTTTAAATTATATGTGCAAGTTTACGTAGAATCACAAAAGTAAATATCTCAGAATATATACCCAACTTATGCAAATTCAGAAAATTCCACATCAAGACACTGAAAATCATGAGGTATGACTGAGGGGGTGGGGAGGAAGCAAAATCAAAAGTGCACAAGCTTCAAGCTTTGATATAACTACAGTCTTACTATATAGTCCTATTTTTATAAAAAAATTCCTTCAAACTATCTATCTACAGGAAAAATGTGTATCATATCCATTTTCTGAATTTAAAAAATATATATGTAATCTTCCTTTGCTTTTGATGCATTCAAATGTGAATTCATAGTGGGGTGATCTGATTCTTTTGGGGCTCTAGAGAAGAGATGGATACAACATACTGTATCTTTTTTAAGAAGTAACAGCTGAAATGTTAGGCATTCCTTGTTTTTCTTTTTTTAAAAAATTGTATTTAAGGAATTCTGTTCTTGTAAACAATGGCTTTCAAGAAATACTGAGGCCAAATGCATTACTACAGGATCTCAATAAGGTCACCCAACTATCCTTGTTTTTGACACCATGGAAAACATTTGTGGGATTTACCTTGCTAGAAAGAAAGACTACCACTTTTCTTCCTTTTTGTTTTTTTGGATTATCACAATTAAACATCAGAGGATCTTTCCCACATAAATACTGATATAAATGTTGATTTCAAGAACACACAACTTTTGTAAGCATTTATTTCTCAGGTATTTCAGTCTTGGTCGAGGCCAAGGCAGCACTGTCCTGGTGTGAGCTGCCCGTGGGCTCCCATGGATTCCTCCTTGGTGAGTATGTTGGGACCTGCAGCTCACTGGTAGATGTAGGCTTAGCATCTGGCACTGTAGAGGAGTGAGACGGAAGTCTACGGTGATTACTCTCCTCCCCAGAAGTAGATGAATGTCTTTTTCTTCCAAGTTCCTCACTAATAGGGGGCTGCAAAGCACAAAAGACAACACAGTGACAGTTTCACTATAGCCCCTCAGGATCCAAGGCCAGGCTTTTCAACCAGTAATGTATAGTATTAATTATCCTTACAACATGGGCAGACTAGAATTGGCTGGCTCACTCAACATAAGCTTGGGAGGCTTCTCTCATGCTGGGGCCTGGGCTTTGATCAGGGGGCATAAGCAAAGACTGGGTTCCCTCCTTCCAAGAAAATGGTGCAGCAAGGCTATTTCCTTTCACTTACTTTGAAACATTCACAGTTCTCGCTCCTTCCTTGTCCTGGGGTACTCGAATGCTAATGCTTAAATTATAGTGAGTAAAGAAGCCAGGGAACATTTTATCTAGGATTCCTATGATAAGGAGATTGGCTAGACAATATTATTGATGATACTAAATTTAAATACCTTCAAACAGTTCTCCAAACCCACTTAGACTGAAAGCAGGAAAGGGAAAGGTATACTTCATTTTAAAACGATTCTTCATTCTTAGGCTTTTGGGGCTTTTTTAGTTACAGAAATCTAACTGTATACCATTAGACTCGTTTTTTATTTGAAAACAAAACAGCAGTGTTCTTCTCCAGTCTTCTGATATACCTCAAACAGGTCTGCTTTTTTTTTTTTTCCCCTTTTTTCGGTTTTTTGAGACAGGGTCTCCCAGTAGGCCCAGCTGGCCTGGAACTCACTATGTCAACCAGGCTGGCCTCAAACTCACAGAGATCCACCTGCCTCTGCCTCTGCCTCCCAGAGTGCTGGGATTAAGGGCATGAGCCATCATGCTTGGCTCCCCAGGTCTGCATTTTTTTTAGCTAACACCAGTACAGGCAGGAATGACTGAAGAGCAGGAATGTTTCCAATCTTTCTAACAGAACTGGCTAAGCCACTCAGTGGAGGTGGGGGGAGGAGAAGCACCTCTGAATTACAGAAACATGGATATTTCAATAAGTTTCCTGAACTACCAAATCCATTTACACAAAACTCTACAGCAAACAAACTACAACACTGAGCAATCACAGGCCTGGCCCCCTACCACTTCCTTTTCTACTTCTCAGGGTTCCCCCCTTCATTTTTCTCATTTCCATTTATCCTCCTTTGCAGTTATTTTCTTATGTTTTCTTTGTTAAATCTTCCCTTTTCCCCCTGAAATCAAATTTCAAAAGGCTGAATAAAGTCTTCTCTTCTGCCTATCAATTAAATCTTGCATTAATTAATTTTGTGGTGCTGGGGATCTAATCCAGAGCTCTGTGTGTGCTAGGCAAACACTCTACCAATGAGCTACAGTCCCAGCCCTTAAATGTTATTTTTTTTATGAAGAAACTCTAAATCTGTATCAATACATCGTACAAAAATTATATGGATAAAATTATATTAAAAAATAAAAAGTTGGGGATGGGGCTAGAGAGATGGATAAGCAGTTAGTGCTTCTATAAGACCTAGTTGGGTTCCCAGCACCCATATCAGGTGGCTCACAACCATCTATAATTCCAGCTTCAGAGGATCTGACACCTTTTTCTGGCCTCTGTAGGAATCTGCATACACATGGCATACACATGCACATATAAATACAAATAAAAATAAATTTTAAAAAATTAAAAAGTTGGGGCTAGAGAGATGGCTCAGAGATTAAAAGCTCTTGCTGGTCTTTCAAAGGACCTGAGTTTGGGTCCTAGCACTCACATCAGGTGGCTCACAACTACCTTTAACTCCAGCTCCAAGGGATCTGACACCCTTTTCCAGCCTCTGTAAGGCATCTGCATATGCAGACACACACACACACACACACACACACACACACACACACACACACAAAATATTTTAAAAAGCAAGAAGTTAGGATGAGGATATAGCTGAGTGGTGACCATTTGTCTAGTATGAACAAGACCCTTAGTTCAGTCCCCAGCCCAGCAAAATAACCCAAACTAAATAAGACGAAATAAAGTAAAAGGTCTTCTCACTGCTACTGAAAACTCAGTAGCATCTCCTTAATCTAGAAACCATTTAATTACAGTAGCATATCAAAATTAAAGTGACTGACGCCTGCACCACGAGATGTCCACATTTGGGAAATCTATTATGTGTGTATATATGTTCATGTGTGTGCATATGTGTGTACATGCATGTGTATGCACATTTGTGTGGAGGCCAGAAGCTGTCACTTGCCACCCTTTTAAAAAAATATTTGTGTATTTTTTAAAATTAATTACCTTTTATTTTATGAGTGCCTGTATGTATATAAGTGCACCCATGTTGTGAAGCCTATGGATAAGAGGGCATCAGATCCCCTGGAACTGGAGTTTTGGACCATTGTTAGCCACTGTGTAGGTGCTGGGAACCAAACCAGGGTCCTCGACAAGAACAGCCAGTGCTCTTAACCACTGCGCCATCTCTCTAGTCCCTGTACATGTGTTTTGATGACCAATATGTTTAGTGGTACGTGTGTAGTGCCTGAGAAGCCTGGAAGAGGATGACAGAGCTGCCATGTGGGTACTGGGAGTTGAATTTGGGTCCTCTGGAAGAATAGCAAGTGTCCTGAGTCGTCTCTCCAACCCCCTGCCCGATTTTGTTGTTGTTTGAGATAGGGGTTCACTATGTAGCCCTGGCTGGCCTGGAACTTGCTATGTAGTCCAGGCTGATCTTGAACTGAGTTCCCTTTGCCTCCTGAGTGCAACCACACCTGGTTTTACTCTACCTTTTGAGACAGGATCTCTCACTGAACTTATCAATTTGGGTAGGCTAGATGCCAATGAGCTCAAGGGATCCATCCACCTGTCTTTACCCCTACTGTCCTCCAGCACTGGGGTTACAAATACACCACTGTACTCAGCTTTCATGTGGGTGCTGGGGATTTGATGGAGGTCCTTGAGCTTAAGCAAGAAACATTTTCCCAACTAAGCCATCTCCTCAGCTCCTAAATCTGGATCTAAATGGTAACTTTCTGAGCTATTTTTGGACCTGTTTTTGAAGTTTGATTTCAAAATTGAAAGTTAAATTTTCAAAATTAAAAAACAAAAATTATGAAATTAACACGAAAATCTGTTCCATTATAAAAACATACTGGTAATAAAAATAAAGATGAAAGAAGTTAAAACTTACATCAACACGGAAGTCTTCTAACTTCTTAAAACTACAGAGGTATTCCTGAAGTTTTGGGTCAACAGACTGTGTCTTAGATTGAGAATATTTCAGATAGGCCCAGAACTTTTCTAGCCCATACAGCTGGCCTTGATAACAAAGGAATATATCAGTTATATGGAATTTTAAAAAAGTTCATCGTGAGCATGATCTTAACCAGCAGTAAACCATGTACAGTCCAATACATACTTTATCTAGAAGTTTGTATACTTTATCAAGAAATTAAGAATAAAACAAACAATGAATTAACAATGGTGGTGGTTAACATTAACTGAGCTATTGATATGTAACAGGTATTAAGTCTGTCATATCAAACTAATTGGAACATCATGCAACTTGGTAAGATAGTTGTTCCTGCCTATAATACAGATGGAACTCTGGGACTGGCAAGGAGGAGAAACTGGCCTAAGGTCATAATGCTACAAAGCAAAAGAAAGGGACTTAGACCTAGAGATCTGGCCCAGAGCCTACACTCCTCATGGTATAATTTTACCTTGCCAAGTATACCTTCTAGACGCTCATGAGAGGAAACACCAATGAGCAGCCACGATTATCAAGGTAGTAATGACAACACACACCTCCATAGGGGAAACACCTGAAAACACCCTGTTCCTGTTCCTGTAAAGGAAGAGCATTCTCACTGTATGGTGCACCACCCATTATGAAGAACAGTGGCCTGAAGGTCTTAAATGGGAAGACAAAATGTACAGATTCATTTCCTTAGCATTTAAGTGTGTATGTGTGTGTGTGTGTGTGTGTGTGTGTGTGTGTGTCTACATGCGTGCACATGCCCACATGCATCTGCATGCCATGTGCATCTGTGGAGGTCAGAGGATAACTTTCAAAGTCTGCTCTCTCTCCTACCATGTGAGTTCCAGGGAATCAAACTCAGGTTGTCAGGTCTGGTGGCAAATGCCTTTATCCACTGAGCCCTCCTTTCTTATTTATTGACAGATTGAACTATAATTTCCAAAGAGAGCAAGTTTTTGTTTTTACCAGATTCGTAGTCTTTTTTGGTTTCTTCTTGAAAATCCTTAAAAATTTCTTGTCTGAATTTTTTTTCCAGTCCATAACTATAAAACCTGAAAAGACATTCTAACCCATACCTATGAAGAGGAATTAAAAGGCATATAATCAATTTTTGCTACAATAATGCAAGCATCTCACGAGATTTCATACACACAAACATAGCATGACCCTTAACAAGAAATAAGTTTAGTAGATATTTCTCTGTTTTTATTTTTTGAGACAGTGTCTCACTATGTACTCTGTCCTTCAGGAGCACTGGCCCTAAACTTGCCATCTTCCTGCCTCAGCTTCCTAAGTGCTGGGACAGTACGCAAATTTTGTTTTGTTTTGTTTTGTTGTAGTTAGGTTGTGTTCTGTTTTGAGACAGGGTCTCCCTGTAAACCCAGCTGGCCTGGAACTCACTACATAGACCAGGCTGGCCTCCATCTCATCCACCTGCCTCTGCCTCCAAGTGCTGGGATTAAGGAAGTGCACCACCATGCCCAGCCCAATATGTAGTTTTTAACTGAAGTGCTTATCCATAACACTTAGCTGAATTTGCTACTAGCTGTGTTGACCCAGGCATATTTTGTAAGGAAGGTATACTAGGAATTTGGAAAATGAGGGGAAGCCTTTGACAGCTGGAATATGGCTTCTTTGAAGGACAGTATATCTCCTAAGAACTGGTCAAAACATCTAGTGACACCAGGAATGTTTTAGATTTTTCTCAAAGTTTATAATGGTATGTTTGTTTCTTGAATAGAAACTTCACTCTGCAGGGAAAAGTCTACATTCTTGACTTTTTCAATTATAATGGAACACGTCTGATTAGAAGGTTCCTAATAGTTATAAAATAATTAACACTAGATCTAGTCACCAAAGAGTTATAACCTCTACAAATCAGAAGACAATTTTCCCTATTTCTTCCTATAACCACCTAGAAGTATCTGGGACAAGTTCTGGATAGCAGCTCAGCAAACAGGGGCTCAACCAACAATGAACAGTACTGAGCAGAACCACTGAGTACTGGAGGACTAGTGAAAAAGAACGAGATTGCACAGGTAGAGGACACAGAGCATGAGAATCCTTGCTTTTTCTAATCTCAAGAAATCTTAAAAGTCTAGATTATCTCTAAACTTGCTTTGACTTGGTCTGTACATACATGTGCATGGATGTCTATAATGGTGGGGCCTGGGAGAATGTTCTTTTTTTATTTTTGAAATTTACTTATGTATATGTGCATATGCCTGCTTCTCTGTGTGTGCACCATGTATGTGCAAATGCCTGTGAAGGCCCAAAGAAGGCACTAGATCCCCAGGAACTGGAGTTTCAGGCAGTTGTGAACTGACTGATATAAATGTTGGAAACCAAACCTGGGTCCTCTGCAAGAGCAGCAAATGCTCTTAACTGCTGAGTCATCTCTCCAGTCTGGAGAGATCATTCTTATAATTACATTCAGCACTTGTGCCAGACTCTAATTAGATTCCTGCTGATCCTGTCCTCTGCTATTCACAGCCTCAGGTAGTTTTCACCTTCACTGTACTTGGGCTGGTTTGTACAAATAGAATATGGGAGGGACTGGAGAGATGGCTCAACGGTTAAGAGCACTGACTGCTCTTGCAGGGGACCCGGGTTCAATTCCCAGCACCCACATGGTGGCTAAAAACCATCCTTAACTCCAGTTCTAGGGGAATCCGAAGCCCTCTTCTGACCTCTGTGGGCACTGCATGACACCGGTGCACTCACTTACATGCAGGCAATACACTCATACACATAAAATAAAAATAATAAATATTTTAAAAAAAGAATATGGTAGATGAGATGTTGTCATTTATTTCTTAATTTTTTTTTATGTTTCGAGTGCATTGCCTGTATGTATATAAGTGCACCCATGTCATGCAATGCCTGCAGAGATCAGAAGAGGGTGCTGGATCCCCTGGAACTGGAGTTACGAATGGTTGTTATCCACCATGGTGCTAGAAATTGAACCTGAGTCCTCTGCAAGAGCAGTCAGTGCTCTTAACTGATGAACCATCTCTCCAGCCCCAAGATGCTGTCATTTCTAAGGACAGATTATTCAACACATTGAGGCTTCCACCATGGAAACTGTCCTTCCTTCTTTCTTAGATCACTACTTCTGTGGGGGGAAAAAAAGCCATATTGAAAAATACCCCTTGTGGGGGCTAGAGAATGGCTCAGCAGTTAAGAGCACTGACTACTCTCGCAGAGGACCTGGGTTCAATTCCCAGCACCCACAGGGCAGCTATAAATTATCCTTAACTCCAGTTACAGGGGAATCTGATGCCCTTTTCTGACCTCTGCAGCATTGCATGACACAGTGCACTCACATACTTGCGGGCAATACACTCATACACATAAAATAAAAATAATAAATAAAATATTTAAAAAAAGAAAAATACCCTTTGGGGAGGCAGCTGTGGCCAGGAAATGATACTCTGGCCAACAGTCAAGGGAAGGAACCTGAAGAGGACTCTGCAAATACCTTGACTACCTTGGGCCAGTGCTACTTGGCTAAATGGATCCTAGGGTCTTGCCCTCAGGAACTAACAAATGTTTGTTTTAATCTTCTGACTTTTGAGGTAGTTTACTATATAGTGACAGAAAACAAATATAACCCTCATTCCAGTTATGTTGTGGCTATTTTCACAGCTCAAATTCAGATTACTGCACTGAAGCAATACATTAGCAATGCTTCATTAGTTCCAATTGTTCCTTGAATAATTCATGGACAAGGAAAATTCATCACAGTAGGTTTTCTTTTTCCCCTGAGTGAGAATGCATTTTAGTGTGTTGTATGTTTGGTGTAATTCTACCATAGTAAAAGAAAAGGAGAATCCTGAGTATCAGAAAGCAGTCATTTCCAATGACTCACTGATGAGAATAATCTGTAAAGTATGTTAATTTAATGCTGAATAACACAACAGAAAGAATGGTTAGATGTTTTCAGTATTACTTGATGTGGTTAAAAACAATAAACCAGAGAAAAATGAAAAATTATCTTACAAGATTTGTGATTTTTAACTTTTTATTATCCTTTTACATTTTAGCCTAGGTCTTTGAAAAAGGCAAATAATGATAAAAGTTGAAGACATTGTCACCTAAAGTCCTAGTATGAGAGGCAGAGGCAGGTGGATCTTTGATTTCAAAGCCAGCCTGATCTACACAGTGAGTTCCAGGCCAGCTAGGGCTACAGGGAGACATTGTCTGCCAAGTCAGAATATTATTGATGAAAAGACAATAAAAGCTACTGTGTAATACATTATTATAAATTATTATATTTACATGAAAATGTAAATACATGAGAATGTATAGATATATGTGTAGATGGAATCATATCTACAGGAAACATAGTTGTTTTCCCAGTACTGTAGCTTTTTGAGATTATACACTATTTGTTAGTTTAATATGGAAATAAATCCAATCTGTCTTGCATTCTAGGGATTATGTGATAATTTGTTTCAATAGTGGCCACATGAGAACTGATGAATCTTTATATTATCAAGGTATCATTAATATTAGTTACAGTGTGAGTTCATAATTCCTCAGGCAAAATTCATGAATGACATCAGAAGGTTGATCTGCTTCATTTATTGAGTGCTCTAAGAATGCACTTCAGTGCAAAGCAGCAGTGCTGGGCTTCAGTCCTCTGCTAATTTGAAACAGCCAATGCTGAATATTTGAAATGAACTATATTTTGGTTAATAAGATGAATTCATGCAAGTCCATTGAATTACTAATATTTTATTAAACTAAAATTTTAAATATTTCTGCAGATACTTTTGAATGTTATTAATAAAATGTTTGTGTAAAACTAAATGGAAAAGAGAAAATAATCATAAAACATTTTATTTACATGTTCATCTATGGCTATATTAAAATTTTAGTGTTGCTCTTTCAAAATGGTGTGTAATGTCATCCAAATTGTCTATTAACTTAAAGAAATCCTGTTTTTTTAGTTCTTTTAAATACATTTGAATAAAATACAATGAATTCATTTTGAAACTGTTTTAAACCTGCATATAAGTTGATGTTTTAATAAATCATGTGTTTAAAAAAATAAAAAATAAAAAATTCAGATTACTTTTTTTTTTTTTGTCTTTTTGAGACAGGGTTTCTCTGTAGCCCCAGCTGG